TGTAACTGGCTCTTAAAATCAGCAACATAAGTCTATTTTCAAGTGTTGTAATATTCCTGATAAAGATATCAGATGAATAATAAGTAAGCTGGACCCTTCACTGTAGAATAAATAATGAGTACATTGTGCACATTCCAGCAGTAAATAATCTCAGCTGAGGTACTATTTCCATTTTATAATCAAACAAAAGCTGACAAATAAAATATATATTTGATGTCTGATTTGATGAATTTTGCATACACTAGAATACTGAGTACTGATATTCATTTTGTAACTGAAACATGTAAGACATATCTCATTATGTAAAGCAGTGAAAGGATAGATTCATAAATGTTCATCAGCTAGAAGTACTTGACTTTTTCCTAATCAAGCAACTTCAACTGAGCATGATGTAAAGAATAAAATACTTTGGGGACTTGCCCAAGGAAATGTTTGCAGGGTAAGACATTCACATGTCATATTTGTAAATGTTCTGAGTCAGGAAAGACAGCGGGATACGTTTAAAGCCTTGTAGGTAAGGCATTCATATAGATGGATACTATGTATAGAAAGGTATTTAACTCAGAGGTTCTTTGGCCTTTTCCTTCCAAAAAGTTGTATAGTTTTGGCTACATACAAACAGATACTTTTACTTGGAGGGGTTGCACCGTAACATAGTGGCTAGTGCCTTGCAGTACTGGGGGTCCCTGGTTTAAATCCTGGTAAGGACACTATCTGCAAGGAGTTTACATGTTCTTGCTGTGCTTGAATGGGTTTCCTTCAGGTTCACCGGTTTCCTCCCACACTCCAAAGACATGCTGGAAGGTTAATTGTCTCCTGTCTAAATCAGCCCTGTATGTATGTGTAGCCCCTACTACCTTAAGTGGGGTGACTACAAAAATTTAGTGTTGCCAGAACTGTATCAGTCTAGCTGATTTGTATTCTGGTATTATTTGGGTAATTCTAGATGTTCTGCTGTTGATTGCACCTGCCTGTGAGTAAGGTGTAACCTTGCCTCAGAGTGGGCAGCCAATAGGGGAACATCAGTCGTGTCTGTGTCTCAACAGCCAATCACAAGGAAATTTCATGACACATGGTGCATGCTGGGGGAGTGTATAAATACTCAGGGATTGCCATGTGTTTAGGTAAGTCCACCCCCTGGGCTTGGTCTGGGAGTGGGCATGTACAAGGTTGGAGAAGCTGACTAGACCTCAAGCCTGGAGGAGGCCACATGTGGACCCAGGTGGGGTTTGGTACTATCTGGGAGGAGAACCAGAGCAGCCATATGACTGTTGGAGGTACCAGGAGCTACTATGAAGCTCAGGAACAGGTCTGGTGTCTCTGCCAGGTAACATCTAATGCACATCCCTATTCAGCTGTTGTTCTATTGCAGAGTCAGCCTGTTCTACTGAAGTGATTCTGCACTGGTGAAGCCTGAAGGGATTGGTGAGTCTTGAGTCTGCCTTTTTTTGCCATGGATGTCTGATGCCCTATACCCTCTCTCCTTGTTTGTCTGTCTTCAATACCCTCTCTCCCAGTTTGCCTGTCTTCAATAAAGCTTTCTAAAAAAATCCTTAAAATGACTGGCACCCAATTTGTTGATCACATGGCTAAGGATCTGCCCCTGAGTGTGAAATGTTGGCCCTACCTGCCCTTGAAATGTTGGCCCTACCTGCAGGTCAGGGGGGCACTTCATATGCATGTGAGATAGGGACCTTAGATTGTAAGCTCCTTGAGAGCAGGGACTGATGTGAATGTTCACTATGTAAAGTGCTGCATAAATTGTTGGCGCTATATAAAATTTCTGTACTTAAAACAATAATAATAATGATAATTTGCTAAACACTTGAGGCATATTTATAAAGCAGTAAATATGACATTCACTGCAGGTGGAACAATAACTGTAATTTAAAACACATGCAACTGGAATAGTCACCTGCACTAAATGTTTGGTGAATGTCACATCCAACGCTTCATAAATAAGTCCTTTATTATAGATCATTCAGATCATGCTAGGGATATTGCATTTTAGACCCTGCACAGGTTTAAGAAGGAACAATTCACATTGCAACACTGGTCATGAAGTGGGTTCTGCAATTTACACAGAATGCATAACTTTGGGTGCACATTACAAAGACTTAAGAGATAGATTCCTATCATAAAAACTTTGAAACCATCCCTTGAAAACATGGAAAAGACAAAGGGGTCTATTCACAAAGCTACCGAAGGATCTAGCCGCAGCTTCGGCTGATCCTTCGGCTAGCTTCGGCCCCAGGACCCCTTCGGTTCAGGGCTGCTGTACAGGCTTTTCACTATAGCCCTACAGCACCCGAAGTTGGCCAAGGGGCTCAGTCGAGCCCAGGGGTAATTCGAAGCTGAACGTCATCTCACGGCTGGCTCTGGCCATTTGCAGAGAGATCAGCGTCCCTGGTTACCAGGTAACCAGAGACGCTGATCTATCATTACACTGAGAACCCGTCGGAGCTGCTGTAAAATCACAGCAGCTCTGACAGGTATTGTGTGCAATGACAGAAGGCATAACTGGTTACCAGGGACGCTTTCTGTAATTACACCGTGGCTCCTCAGTACACTGAGAACCCGTCGGAGCTGCTGTAGAATTACAGCAGCTCAGACGGGTTCTTACTGTGTAATGACACATGGGCATCCCTGGTTACATGGTAACCAGGGATGCCCATGTGTCATTATGACGAGAGCTTAGGAGAGCCGGCAGTGATATGAAAGCTGACTCTGCTAAGCTCTCATGTTAATGACAGAACAGTATCTGCTGGTTACCCAATAACCAGCAGCTGGTTACTAGGTAACCAGCAAATGCTGTTCTGTCATTAGGATGAGAGCCTAGCTGAGTCGGCTTTCATATCCCGCCGGCTCTGATAAGCTCTAATTCTAAGGATAGTTAGTCCCGGCCAATAGAAAACAGTTGGGCGGAGTTAGCTGTCACTGCTAGCTCCTCCCGATCATTTTCTATTTTAGTTTTTTCTACTTTTTTAACTGTTTTTCTATTCTGCTCGGTACCACAGAGGTATCGAGCAGAATAGCCGAGCGGCATTCGGCTATTCACTCACTACTGTTCGGCATCTATGAGAATAGGCCAAACAGCAGAGAGTAGCCTGCCAGAGGTTCGGCTCAGCCAATCCAGATGTTGGATCGGCTAAGTCAAACTCCTTCTGCACTTCACTTCGGGTTGGCCGAACATGCTGAGCATGTTTGGTCGACCCGAAGCCACCCAATGTATGGTTGATTTCAATTGATATACGCCTGAAATCATCCGTACAAGCCTGAAGTGAATAGCCGAACAGTGTCGGTTCGGTTGTTCACTCGGCTGCCTACGGCAGCTTTGTGAATAGACTCCACAGTCTAAACAAAGCCTTCTTCACCACTTGGGTCGCTTGGCTTTTTCTGCCTAAATCTTTTTTTTTCATTTTCATGATGTGTGGGTCTTACTCTTTTAGGTTTTTGTAGTCTAACTTATTATACGTAGCTTTTTGTGGAACAGATAGCACTTTCATTTGGTAGCAAATTCCAATACATATATTTTGTCTTGGATTTTTATTGGGAATAAAAAGTAACAGATTGGAAAACAATAACATTGTCTGTTATTTTCTCCAACGCATCATTCACATAATTTGCACACCCCCATATATTTATCCCAAAATAAAATCAATAAGATAATGCGTAGTTGTGTGAGCAGTTGATGCTTTAGTGGTGGAAATTATATTACTACTGCCACTAAATGAATGACACCTGCAAACAGGCTTGTTTCACATAGTAAACAAGTTGTCAGGTATACCAGGTGACCTCATTGACCAAATATGGTCATAACCATAATTGGTCAATGATGTCAGCTAGCATTACTGGGTGGCTTGTTGACATTCAGTAGCTGGCTGAGGAACTATCATTTAGCAATGTGAGTTTGGTGGAAGAGAAACGTCGGCATGGGTCATTATATTTGTGTCATCAGTGTCATTTCTTGTGATTGACAATGGATCTACATTGCTGAATGGCGAACCTAATGATGGAGTTTAGTTTTTTTTAAAATACTTTGTAAATGGTGATTGTGTATTTATCTACATTGTAGTTTTTTGTGACTGAATAACAAGGGGGCTATACATTTCTGATAAGTCCCCCACAGACCCCTCTATCCACAGTGGTGGACAAACCGTATAATGTCCACCCATATCCATACAAGCCCTTATCCTTGATAAGGGTCTGATATTGTTGTACCTCTCAGGCAAAAAATACAAAACAGCCCCCCAAATTTATACTAGAACGTATCCAGGTATACAGTCTTGCTGGCCATGAAAGGAAGTGGCAGTGAGCATGCCTAAACCATTCCATGCCACATGCTCCCCTGGTTTCTCATTGAGTAAAAAATGTAAATAGTAAATAAACACATGGATACATTAGAAAAAAGTATTTGATAAAAAAATAAATAAAAACATGTCCCTTCATGTACATTCAACATGTATCACATTATCCAGTGATATAAGCATTATCCATTGTCAAGCACTATGAACAATGCCATAACAATTTGCAGATAAGCCACTGTTTCGCCCACTGCTATTCCTGGGTAGATAGGCATGGGATAGATAGATAGATAGATAGATAGATAGATAGATAGATAGATAGATAGATAGATAGATAGATAGATAGATAACTGGACTTGATGTATTTTTCTTGAATACGTTTTATTGCTCACCCGACCAGGTTTGTCAATTCAGAATTACTTGTACAAAAATTATCTGGGAATAAATATGGTGAATGTTGCTCCAATCCACATCATCTGTTAATCACAACCATGTGTTGATTGCATTTGCATAATTGGAGCTAGAAGGTGTTATTACCTGCACAGGGAGAGAGGTGTTAAACCAGCATTGTATGTGGGTGAGACATCTATTCTCTGCCACAGTTGCCTTGACTTATTTTTATAGATAGATAGATAGATGCATAGCAAATAATTCATATGAAGCAGTGCATTGCTATATACAGAAGAGGTACAGTACCTTTCCCACATATTGTGGTTCAGATCCCATATATTCTTCAAGGACAAAGAACTGATTCCATACCCAGCCACGTTTAACTCTCTGTGCAGCTGATCTCCTACCCGACATTGTGATAATAACATTTTCCTTCTGCTTGAATGCTGAGGTTTGTGGTGGTTGCTGTGAATGCAGTGGTGTTAAGAGACCTCCATCAAACAGGAACCAAAGAAGCAGCGATAAGCAGTTCCTTGTAAGCATTGGAAATGCTGTCTCTACAGCCCCGTAGTTAAAACTCCAACACTTGTAGAACTGTAGGATCCAGCTTGAACTGTGCTTGTTCCTCACCATAAAACTCTCACTGTTGCAAAATACATATGAAAAGTATCTCCTTCGCTGATGTGCTTGTCATTGTATTGATAATCACCAGTGGTTTCCTGTAATAACACATAAAATAGCAAATAAATATTAAATTGTGTAGTTCTTAATTGCATTAAAATTTAGACATTTCTATATTTAAATTGTGTGATTGACAGCGGCTGTAAATAAACAAAAGAATATATAATTATTAAAAATAAAGAAGGAAAGAAAAATGCAGCAAACATAAAAGGAAGCATTGATTCTAATAATGTGCATGTCTTTGCACACGTGAGAGATTCCATGTGGACTACACACTCTTAATATCCCTTCTAGAAACAGAATATTTATGAACATGTCTAGCTGGGGTTTCGCTGTTTAGAATCTTAATAAAAAGGTTTATGGTATCTAATGAGTGGTGTATTATTTAACACAAGCTATGTGTGTGATTTTGTGCTAACTTTCAAAAGATAGGAATGGCTGATATTTACTATGAAGACTTTAATGTAGCTAAGAGCTGTTGTAAACCCTGAATGTGAATCTTGTAAAAATTACCATCATTAACCCTTTTATTGCAAGAGTTGTTGTGCATTTTTGTTTACACAGAAAATAACGATCAATGAAAAAAGAAAATAAAAAATCATTAAAAAATAAAAAATAAATAAACAATTGGGCGGAGCTAACAGTGGCAGTTAGCTGTACCCAACTGTTTCCTATTGGCTGGGACCTGCTAGAGTCTTCCAGCAAGTCCCGACCAATGAATAACAACTTGGCAGACCTGGCCGTGATCTCACGACTGGCTCCGGCCAGTTGCAATGGCAGATCCGGAGCTACGGCTGATCCTTCGGCTAGCTTTGTGAATAACCCTCTATTGTTTTTGATATGCAATGTTGTAACAAAGTACATTTCAGCCAGAGTTTACATGTATTATACATATAAGGACAATCCTATACTTGCAGTTTTTAATTTCTTAATGGCATTTGTGTGCCTCATTTGCAAAACATTGATTTTATGAGTTATTTATTTTATGAGTTTTTTCACACAGGGGATTCCCATTTAGAAACATAAGGGTCTATTCACGAAGCTGCCGAAGGATCTAGCCGTAGCTTCGGGCGATCCTTCGGCTAGAAGCCAGACGTGATCTTACGGCTGGCTCTGGCTACTTGCAGAGAGATCAGCGTCCCTGGTTACCAGCTAACCAGGGACACTGATCTCCAGACAGCTAACTCTCCCTGGCGCTCCGGGAGTCTCCCGCTCCCGGCCGCCAAGGAGGCTGTTCTTTTTTTTTTTTTGACACGGAGACGTGTCAGAATAGAAAAAAAATGTTTTTTTTTGCCTTTTGGAATGCATTGCTAGATTCCCATTGGCTATTTCAATTTGCAATAGTCAATAGTAAACAAGCATTTACCTGCCCTCTGCTGCAGTTCTCCATCAGGTCCATCAGCAGAGGGCGGGTACAATGCAAGTTTACTATTGGCTATTGCAATAGGAATCTAGCAATGCATTCCAATGGGCAAAAAATATATATATTTTTTTTCTATTCTGACACGACTCCGTGTCAGAATAAAGAAAGGAAAAGCAGTGTTTCTCTCCCGGGCACTCACCCGAGCGGGAGGCTCCCAGAGTGCCCGGGAGAGGTTTTTTTTCTTTTTTATTTGATGGCAGCAGAGCCGCCGGACAATAGAAAACAATTGTGCGGAGCTAGCAGTGACAGCTCAGCGGCATTCAGCTATTCACTCACAGCTGTTCGGCATCTATAAGAATGGGCTGAACAGCAGTGAGTAGCCTGCCAGAGGTTCGGCTCAGCCGAACTCCTTCTGCACTTCGGGTTCGGCCGACCTGAAGCCATGCGAAGAAAGCCGATATACGGCTGAAATCAGCCGTACCAGCCTGAAGTGAATAGCCGAACAGTGTTCGGCTCACTTCACTTCAGGTCATTCATTCACTCGGCTGCCTACGGCAGCTTAGTGAATTGACCCCATAGTAAACGTGCGTGTTATCAAGCTGAACTTCAGAGCTGTAATTGTTTCCTAGTCTACAATGGGATTTGTGATTTAATAATTTGATTGAGGGATGACTTGCTTATTGTTCAGTCAATATATCTGCCACCGCTATGTTGCCGCACCATAACAAATGTTGTATGAAGCGAGATTAGCTACAAGTTCAATATTACTTTATCAAAACTGCAGGTTAATAATAATATGTTTTTAATATGATATATTGTATATCAGGATGGCCCTTTCTTTGTGTTACCATATGAAGTTAATGTCAAATCTCCATGAACGTATGTGTATGGTTTTTGCAATTAAATATATTTTATGTTGGGTGACTGAATTTGGTTATTAAATATATTCTAAGTTGGATATTGTAACAAAGGGCATCTTAAAAATATCCAATCCCCAGAGAATTATTCTAATTTGATTAGATAAGTACTTGGAGGCTGCCAATTCAGGCCCCTCCATATAAAGGTGCCCATACACCTTACGTATATCAGCCGATTTTTATATGCAATCGCGTTTTCGTCCGATATTCGTAAGGTTGATAGGCTATGTACAACCGTAAATACTGTACAATCGATCGACTGTTGACTAACCAGCAGGTTAGAAAACTTTGGTCAAAAGTCGTACGATTTAGACTGCACATGTGCAGACGAAAATACGCGTGGTCAATTACCGCAATTCGTCCAGGTGCTTTCTTTTAATTACTGCTGATTGAACATTGCGATAACTGGGGCAGGACGGTTCGATCATCGGACAAAAGTTTTGTCCGATGATTTTAAGATGTATGGGCAGCTTTAGGTGGAATTTATCAAAACTGTAGCAGATAGAATATGGAGTTATTGCTGGAGCATGGCAACCAATCAGCTTCTCTCTTCAGTTTGTTCAGTTAAGGTTAAACATTTAAGGAGAGAATGTGATTGGCTGCCATGCACAGCTGCTCCAGATTTTGCTCCAGTGTTGATAAATTCCCCTAATTGTTTCTGTTATATTTATATATATATAGATGGATGGATGGATATCATGACCTGTGTTTTTGCTCATATGTATCAGCATGCTTAAATATTTTCTTTGTGTATTTTAGTCAAATAGATTGTTGGTTCACTGTATTTGTCTTGTCTTGTTGTTCTGTTGAGCCCAAATCTCATGTTTCATTCCTCATAACTAAATACTTGTAGGTGTGAACACAGCAAATCATTTATTAACCTATTAGTTTGCGTAATATTTGTAATAGTGTAACTATAAATATTAAAAGTTTTTAGATGATCAGTAACAAAAACAATGTTTTTCTTGAAAAAAACAATATGGTCTATTTTTAAAGTAGTGAAGGTGACATTTACTACTTTAAAAATACAGTAGTGCAATTGCCAGAATTTCTTAAAAAAATGTTTTATGGCGGTGTGTCTTCCTTTCTTAGTAACATCCACACCTCCCCACATGGGCAGGAAGAAAGAGAAGATGGTGCAAGTGTGATGCCCACTGTTTTTAAAGCTCTGGCTCTGTTGGGTTGCAGCACTTTGGGCCCCTGGTTCAAAACCCTGTGCTTGCGTGGGTTTCCTCTGTGTACTCTGGTTTCCTACCACACTCCAAAGACATGCTGGAAGATAAATTGTCTTCTGTCTAAATTGGTCATAGTATGTGTGCATGTGAGATAGGAACCTTAGATTGTAAGTTCCTTGGGCAGGGACTGATGTAAATGTACAGTATGTAAAGTGATGCATACATTTTTGGCCCTATGTAAATACCTGTAATAAATTAAATACATAAATGTGCTGGGCCTCACTCTGCAGCATTAGAGTAGAACACAGGCTTTTCTACTCAGGCTGCAATTTATTTTTTTAAAGGCTAAGTTTATCGTTTCTACCATATTTCATGTTGCACCCATATTCAGGGTGTAACATGGAAGATGGTGACGTTACCACTCATCTCCCACTTGCCTGAATTGCGGGGTTCTTTTCCCCACAGGTTGCTTCTATATTTTAAGTCTGGCATGACTGTGTGTGTCTTTGCTCACACCACCACGTCATCCATTCACAGATCCTTTTGTCAAGATGTGTGAATGGAGAAACTACAAGCCAAACTATTATTCCGCTAACGCTTCCTCCCGTCCCTGTTACTGAATGTCCATACCTCATCATTGACATGGATGGCTCAAAGAGTCTGCAAGAACAAGATAATTGCACCTGTGATCCACTGATTGCAGTTGCAATGCTTTACATGCACCAATGCAAAACAAAGCACATTTTTTTTATGAAGAAGTGTGCAATTTTTTTAAAAGATGGACCTTTGCCTTTAACCCCTTCGTGACGGGAGACGTACACTGTACGTCCAGCCACAAAGGGACCAAATGACTTGTCACGTACACTGTACATGACGAGTTATTTGCTTCTTTAGAGGGCTGTTAAACGCTGAGAAAACAAACTGTAAGACTTTGGGGTCTATTCAGGAATTTGCCGAAGGATCTAGCCGTAGCTTCGGCCGATCCTTCGGCTAGCTTCGGCCCCAGGACCCCTTCGGTTCAGTAGAACCGAAGGGGTGCTGTACGGGCTATTCACTATAGCCCGTACAGCTCCCGAATCTGGTCGAGCCGAACGCATTTGCCTCGGCTCGTCTGAGCTGCGCTGAAAGCCGAAGCTGGCCGAGCCAGCTTCTGACAGCAGGGCGGAGCCAGCCGTGATCTTACCTGCTAACTAGGGACACCCGCTCCCGGCCGCCAAGGAGAGAAACACTGCTGTTTCTTTTTTTATTCTGACACGGAGCCGTGTCAGAATATAAAAAAATAATGTTTTGCCCATTGGAATGCATTGCTAGATTCCTATTGGCTATTTCAATTTGCAATAGCCAATAGTAAACTAGCATTGTACCCACCATTTGTTTTAATACACATGGGATGTATTTAGCCAATTTAAACTGAAGGTTCAGTTAGGCTTTAAACTAGGGATGCACCAATACTTTTCGAGTACCAATGTCGATACAATGCATTTTTATGATAACTGCCAGGGTTGCAATGGTTGCAGCTGGGACCTGGCTCTGGCACTCCACCACTGTCCTGAAATCATTAGTCGCTATTGTTTTAGAAAAAC